CCGGGCAGGTCTTCGGGTCACCGTGTCACCGGTTCAACCGTCGGGTCACCGGGTCAATTGCTGAACCGGATAATTAATTTAAAATTTTTAAAATTATATATATATATATATACTATTTTTGACATATAAATATACATAAAAGTAACTAAAATAAATATTTTGTATACACAATTTGTACATTTAAGTGTTAATAATATTAAATCTCTCAATAAATATTTGCTATGTCATTATATAAACATAGTATTTATTTTTTATATAAAAAATAAAAATAAAAAAATTTATAGAGACCGGGTTAACCGGGTTGACACGGCTGGGTCAATGACACGGGTCGATCGGGTCAATGCCGGGTTGGCTGAGTTTTGACCGGATTTGACCGGGTCTATTGTTACCCGCTCCAAATAGCCCACTCGCACCGGTTTCGGCTCCGGGTCGACCGGATCACGGGTCGACCCGCCGGCCAATCCGAGTCACAAAACAATGGTGTTATGTACACCTCTATCGCTATGTACATTTATTATGTACTTGTAGCATTTTTAAATTAAGTATTACACAAAATAATTTTAAGAAATATTACAAAATATTATTTTTTAATTTAAATAGATTATATAAGAAACTAAACGTTATTGTGACTAAAATAGTACATTTATGTGTTTTTCCAATTAAGTATTACACAAAATAATATTTAATAAATATTACAAAATATTATTTTTTAATTTAAATAGATTATATAAGAAACTAAACGTTATTGTGACTAAAATAGTACATTTATGTGTTTCTCCAATTAAGTATTACATAAAATAATTTTTAAGAAATATTACAAAATATTATTTTTTAATTTAAATAGATTATATAAGAAACTAAACGTTATTGTTACTAAAATAGTACATTATATGTAGCTTATTTTATTGTGACTAAAATATTATGTGTAGATTATTTAATGACATAATTAAATATAATAAAATATTATTTCATAAAGTTAGCAAATAGTACATTTATGTGTAGACTAATATTATTCTAATTTAATGAATTATATGAATTTAAAGTACTTGAAATTTAATAAACTAGAGAGACACCAACTCTATAAATATAAAAATATAATCATAATACAATAAAACTTGTTTTGTTTTAAAAAGTATTCGAATAAAACATAAGAATTATAAAAGTATTTTGTTTAGACATATAAAATTTTAAGAATATAATTAAATAATGTCTTTCTTGAAAAAAATTGTGAAAAATATGGGGGCCGTTTTGTATTAATTATCAATTGTTAGTTATTTATTAATGTTGTATATTCATCCTACAAAGTTTCACAATAAAAAAATATAAATTGTTTTAATGTTTTTATTGTACAAATATGAATATATTTAACTATCCGTACGTACAAGAGTGCGTACTTATTTATTACTTAATAAATAAATATACACAATGAAAGCTGAACAATTATATTCCTTGGTGAACAAATTATACTCTTTATTAGTGAGGTGAAGACAATTGTCCTTGATGATCAAGTATAGTTCTTGGTGGGCAAGTATATTCCTTAGTGAGGCAAAACACAATATTGTAATAAAAACTTATATATATATAACAACCTCTGGATAGTTGAACTATCAAACGAATTGATTAGCTTGCATGCAAACAGAAAAAATAATGCAGATCTTTGTGGAAACTCTTTCCGGCAGAACCATAACGCTCGAAGTCGAATCTAGCGAAACTCCCGAAAATGTCAAGGCTAAGATTCACGACAAGGAAGGTAAAAATCTCTTAACATATATTATTCTTCAGTTTATAGTTCATCAACACTATATTTTATTTTTACGATAATTTATCTGTTTTTTTGTTTAGGAATCCCACCGGATGAACAACGTTTGATCTTTGCCGACAAACAGCTTGAAGACAATGATGGCATGACTCTTGATGATTACAATATTCAGAAAGGGTGCACTTTGCATTTGGTTCTGAGGCTTCAAGGTGGTCTCATTAATGTGAATTCGTCTACGAAACCGAAATATCCCCCACATCTTAAGGCATTGGCTCAAAAGTTCAGACAGAAAAAAATGATTTGCCAAAAGTAGGTTTTTTTTTTCTTATCTTTTCCTAACTGATTTTTTCTCTTTCGTCTACTTTTTGAACCGTTTAATGATCTCAACTTTTGATTAAAAATCGGCAGGTGTTATGCTCGTCTGCCGCTTCGAGCCGTCAACTGTAGGAAGAAAAAATGTGGACACAGCAACGAGGTACTTTATTTAACCTCGATTATTCGTCAAATTAACTGCACAATAGTTTCATTTGGTCGTCTTATGCTCGTTTATGTAATTTTTTTTTTTATTTTATTTTCTTGCAGTTGCGACCCAAGTCGAACAAGGGCCAGTATCTATGAGCTTATCATGAGTATTTAGTTATGTTTTTCAGATTGCAATTAGTAGATGATTTTTTGAATTTTGAAGTATAGCATTGTTTTAAGTTCAAAGTTGTCTAAGGCTCAAAACCTTTTGTTATTTATGGTATTTGGTTAGTACTTAGAATATTGTCAAGTGTCCTGTGATTTTCAGATAACAATAGTTTCTACTGATGTTTTTATGATACACTTTAGAATTGAATTTATTTTATATATCTTGATTTGCTACAAACAATACTAACATTATAAAGTCCTTCCAAAAAAAATTGGGGCAAATAACCATATATATATGAAGCTTCAATAAATCTTAATTCAACAAAAAAGAAGTTAAATTTCAGCATTCTGAGTACAACGATATCAAAAAGATGTCCGGTTAAAATCCACCGGAAAACGAAAAAACATGAACACAAAAGTGGGGGCTCCGGCCAATTAGATAATTCCAACTTTGTCGGCGATGTCCAAAGCATCAAAATGCGGCGTCAACCGAACATATGCTTTCTTGGTCCCATCAGGCCTGAAGAACATGACGTGAATTCATGCTAATTAGGTCAACTGTAAAATATGACGTGAAGAGAAGAATAATAAATTTGCATGAAGTAGAAAAATCTGCAAAATTCAACTGCAAAACTCAGCAGTCATATACCAAATTATAAAAAAAAAAACGAACCATACTCAGCAGTTAGGTCTAATCTTATATGATTTTCTTTGCAAAAACAGCCATCGTTACTTTATACTGTCGTCAAAAGTTGCCCGATTAGTGCTTATGCACCACCTTGGAGTTGAACTTTGCAACTAAATATGTTTCTTTTTACAGCTGCTGAGGCCTCCAATTTTTAGATTCTAGGTCAGAGTGAAATCTTTTGAGAACCATCCTAATTGTGTTTGGCAGAACAGTACATAATCGTCCGAGCTGAGGTTCGGTTATCGTATCCACCGTGTGAGCGAAAGAGGAAAAAAAAGAGAGACCAAAGGAAAAGAGGAAAAGACCTCAGAAGGCTCGGCTTAAATATGCATTTTTATTGAAGAAATGTGATGGGTCGACCAACCTAACCTAACAGTTAAACAATGTGTTTAGAAGCTTGTGTACAAGAATTTGTGACATCTATTGATCGTCTTACATAAGAGTTTGTGATAACAAATATCATCTTGCGCGACGAATTTGTGATAACAGATAGCATATAGTTCCTACTTGAATGATCAAAATAATTGCGTTGAATAATAATATTTCAAAATTTTTCTATATTTTGAAGTTGTTTGATTAGGCCGAATGAAGACAGCACCGTATTTTTTGACCTCATTTACTCTCTGCTGTCATCTCTCTCTCTCCCAAAGGAAAAAACCAGATCTTGTAAATCGCGCCCCCCCTTCTCCGCCGGCGAGGTGATACGATCTTCCACTCTACCAGGACTGAGGCACGACTGGTTCCGTCAATTTCGCCTCCTCCAGAGCTCGACGGGAGACTCTTTCGGCGGCGGGTCTCTCCGTTTCGTGTCCATGGCCGCGGAGGGGGCGCCGCAGCGTTTTTTCTGGTTCCAGCCGTAGGGGTTGCTGCCATGCCGGAGTCAGACTCGTGATTTGTATCTCCGATGCCCGTAGGAAGGGCGTGGACGCCGGGCTCTGGTGTGAATTTCTTCAAGTTGGTCGCGGCCCGCCAGTTCGCCGAGTGGCTGGGTTGCTTGTACTCGTCCAGTGACAGCTTTTGGCGGTCCTTCCCCGGGTCTTGATTTCGAGCCCTCCAGTGTGTTCGAGGCGTCTCCTCCTTTTGTCGCTGAAGCTGAAGGCTTTCAAAGTCTAGATCTGAAGCGAGAACGACCTCCTCGTCAGATCTGTCTAGGCGGTTGTCCGCAGTTTTTTGGTTCGGGCTTTAGATTTGTGACTTTGTTGGTCCGTTAGCTGAGGTGTGGGGCTTTAGGGGTTGGTTTGGTAGTCATTTAGCTCGGCTGCTTGGATTTGCGGAGGTCTTATTTTATTTTATGTGTATATTAGGTGTGAGTTGTATTTTGTTTCTTTGTTGTTTTGGTTTGTTTCGTTCAGTGCACACTACAAAAAAAACTCTTACATTCCAACGGAAATTTTCCGTTTGGAATTTTTTATATTTCCGTTGGAATAGTTATTCCAACGGATATTCCTACGTATAAAAATCCGTTGGAAAAACAGTCATTGGAATAACAAATATCCAACGAAAAATTCTATGGAAATAAATTCCTACAGCTATTTCAACAGAAAAAATCTGTTGGAATTTCTCAACTATCCAACACTTATTCCAACATAAAATTAAGTTTGTTGGAATATTCATTGAAATTTCCAACATAAATTTTTGTCCTTGGAATTTTTCGTTGGAATTTTAATGTTTTTTTTGTAGTGGCAGCTTTGTCTGCTTTCAGTGCAGCTATGTCTGCTATCAGTGCAGCTCGTCTGCTTTTATCTCCTTTATGGAGTTTGTGTATTTGGTTTGTAGTTGTTTGTCTCCTTGATGGAGTTTGTACCCCTTGTATGCGATGATAAGGGGGTTGGTCCAGTTTTCTGATTTCAGTGTGTCACTTGGCACTTCGGGTGTACTCTTTTGAGTTTTTCAGTTATTAATATTATTGNNAAAAAAAAAAAAAAAAAAAAAAGACAGCACCATCATCTTTTTTCTTTTTTAATTCAGTATAGTAAATAATATAATTAGTCATTGTCTCAACATTAAAAGACGTGATAGGGAGGCTAACTTCGCTGCTGATCATTTGGCTAGTCTGGCTTTCTCTTCCCCGACTGGCTTGGAGCGTCTATCTTCACCGCCTGTTGGCATGGGGGCTTGGCTTGACCACGACATTATGGGGGTGTCCTATCCCCGTAGAATTCAAGCTTAAAATTTCTTTTAAGCCGTAGGCATCCTTCTTTGTACCGAAAAAAAAGACGTGATATCATAAAATACTTAATTATTATTTAGTGCAATAATTCTTTTATTATGTTTATGCAATCTGTTCTACACTCAATACAATCATGCAACAATTTTTAAATAAAAATTAGTCATTATCAGAATTAGCTGTAATAGCACTTCAAATTAAATAAGGAGACGATGTTCCATACATAAAAAAGCATCCTAAGTAATGAGTAAATAAAGCTTGTGTATATGATTAATTTTTACTGTTGTGTTTGTTTCTACAAAAAAATTCCACATCAAATAATATAAGTACATAAAAAATTCACACACAATCGAAATAATATAAGTACATGAAAAAAATTTCACACACACAATTTGAGTTATTAGTTACTTATTGTATTTCCTTATAATTCGTTGTTTATCTAACCATTTAGATAGATTCATCAGTCTAAAACCTCGTTAAACGAAACAAATCGAAACAAATCGTTCGTGAGCTCGGCTCAGCTCAACTCGACTCGGTCTAAAGCATCCTAACCATTTAGTTACTTATCTTTTTAATATACTTTTTATAGTTCAACTCGATCTCGATTACTGACTCGTTAAATGCTGGAGCTCGACTCGGCTCGTTTAGCCCTAACCACGATTTAAGAATAATTTGACACTGAGTACAACTTTGTACACAATGATTGATGTCATAAAAGTTAAAACATTTAGGAATGACAATTATTCTAAGTGCTGGAAGAGTTATAAGTAGTAAGTAGTAACAATTATTATGTGAATAGTCCCAAAAAAAACTTCATTCTGAAACTGAATGGGACCTCTGTTCTGAACATATGCAGTCGACAAATGTCGCATCCTTAACAAAATTTCACAGTTTTTTTTTTTTAAGATTTAGAAATATCAATCGTTGTTTATGTATGATTGAACAAATTGGACCATTCTGGAGGGCCATGGTCCCATGAATTTGGCTTGGCAGTATTTCGTTGAGTAAAATTGCACGCTACAATAAGTGTAGACGAGTCGAGCCGAACTCAATTTATAATATCATCCGAGCTCAGCTCGTTAGCGAACTCAACAAGCTCGACTCATTTATAAATGTTAACGATCCTAAATCTATCAAATTATACAAGAATTCTTATCTTCGAGTCATAATTAACGAGCTCGATTCAGTTCGTTTCGGCTCATTAGCTAAACCAGCTAGATAAAACAAGCTAAACCGATTATGTTTAACAACTCCTGCGCATCATCAGTAAATTAAAAAGGGAAAACATTTACAAAATGAGGAGCAGTGGGTTAAGACGACACGGCAATTCCTGATACCGTTGGCTTACCTACACCAGATTTTGCTACGGGCCCACCAGTCCGACCTGGCATCCACGGTGGATCGCAAGATTATAAAATGTTTCACATTCACACAGTGTCTTTAGAAATTCTATTGGGCTTCACAGGGGCCCAATTCCCCCTCCTGCCGCCGGTGGGCCTGTGGGCCCAAGCGCTCCACGTGAAGTGGGCATCCGGCCGGGTTTAATAAAATCTACTCTAATCCCCTCGCAGCCAATCAGCGTTCAGCCCCCACGTGGGACTACTGATCCCACCACTCACACGACCTCACCTGATCACTATCCCGTTTTTTTTATTACATAATAAAATAATCGGAGCAAATAAAACATAAAAAAAATAAAATAAAATAATCAGGCTATTATAATTTTGGCTAAACGTTAATATATTTTTATTTTATATTTTATATTATAAATACCAACCCTCATGATCACTTGTTATCACACTCTTTCATATTATTTTCCCATTTTTCCTTGTTATATTATATAGTTTTTCAATTTTAATTTTTTTATTCCCTCAATATTGCTTTTTTTTTTT